TGGACATTTTCCATCTGTACATACTGAAGAATTTCTTTTTTCCCATTGACACTCATCCGCAAAAGGCTGCTTGATTGTTTCAACAAGTACATTTTCTTTCAATGTACACTACCCTTGTACATACCAGATAACCAACGTTAGAACTCCCTCCCATCCCAACCTCAACAAATAACACTGGAATTGTGCAAAGATAACTTTCTTTAGAAAGTCACCATTTTCTTTCTGCCACTTTTTATTCTTTGTGGCTGGTAAAATGACAGCTCAGACTTAACTTTTACATAAGCTATTTTTAGATTTTTTTTTTCAGACATCCTTTAACTATTTCTATTATACAGGACACATACCCTAGGGATCATTTTATTCTTTGATGGGGTTATTAAGCAATCAGTCTATCCTGGCTCAGTATTAGGAGTTACACTGCAGATCCAGAAACACATGAAGAGTGGCAAACAGTTTCTATTTCAGCAAGAGATTTATACTGGAAAAGAAGTCAGGGTGTTGATTATTGAAATAATGATGATCACTTTGTGAGTTATTCTCTTTAGCTGGGGTTCCACTGCCCACAAGTCACTTATTTTTCCCTTTGAGGATGGCATGTCTTCTCTCCCCGGCCAAAACAGCCTAATACACGTGTGCAGGTTTAATGCTGGAGGGGAGGGGCCCCCTTCACCCATACATAATCACTGTTTTATGGCTCTCACTCATTCCTGAGGTGTTAATGCAGATCAAATGGGAAACACTCGAGAAAGAACCCTTGCAGCTACTGCATTGCCTGGCTCTCCCCTCTCAATCGTTAATTCTTATTGTAAGATCTAAAGGTAATTTTGTTTGCTCTCTTAATGTGTTGCAGTTCTCCCAGTGGCCCTTGCATATCCTTTCTCAAATTCCCATCTTGATCAATTGTTTGCAAATAATTAAGCTTTTAAGAGATAATGGCATGAGGCTAATGTACACAACCAAAGCAAGGTCTCCCTTACTGTCTATGGGACTGTGGTCAAATTTGCTTTGATATCCCAAAGTGATTAGGTTGATTGGTATATCTGGGAAGTGCAATCTGTCTTTCCTTCACAAGAACCTACTGATCTTTCTTAAACTAGTGTCCTTGTCACTGAGGTGCAATAACAGTGATGTAGGTCCTTAGTTGCAATGGTTTGGAATGAATTTTCTATTTTCTCCCTAAAATGGCACGTCTCTTGCCCGTGTGCATTGCATGGCCTCACCAGCTCTGTGGGCGGAAAGCAACAGGGCTTTGAATGTTTTTCCAGCAGCCTTGCCTGTGGCGTGTTGGGTTTTTGTCAAGTCGTTTTTTTAAGTCTACAAAGGAATCACTCATACTGTCCACAAAAAGCTTATCTAGTAAAGATGCACAGGATTTAAGACATTTAAACATATTGGGTTTCTGTTTAAAAGCCTACTTCTTTGTGAATTTTTGGCTGACTAAGGATTAGCTACATGAAGTCATGGCTTTCATGTGATTCTAGCAATTATGTATTTTTTTAGGGAATTGAAAGTTCGCGGAACACCAAGGCCAAGAACTATGAGAAAATGAAAAACATACAGTTGACCTACCATAGACAAGGATTTAGAAATTCTGTTGATACCTTTTTCCCCCTCTTAACAATGACTAGATTATTGTGACATTTAATTTTGTCCAGACTCATTCATTTCTATTTAAAAAAAAATATAACCCGAACAACTGAAAATTGCTTAATGGAGACAGAGTGCTGGGTCTCTGTAGCTTAAGGCTGCCTAGCAATTATGCTGCATGAAATTAGACACAGTTTGTTCCAATTACTTAAAATCAGATCACATGAAAAGTGACAGAGGAAAAAAAGGGTAGAACTTTCTCATTTTATGATATTTAAATTATGAAATCAGAAACTACGTGATGGGAAGAAACACTGAAATTTGTACTGAAATTTTGAGGGCCATATTACTGCTCTTTGAAGCTATAATATTTCAGGTAATTTTAGTGATCCAAAGAGAATTTTCCCGACACTACTTGCATAAATAAAATATGAACTCCATTTGCTTTATAAGAATGTATATAAAACTTACTCACCAACAGGCATGCAAAAATACTCTTGGAAACACAGGACAAACAAATTACTGTGACAACTCTCAATTTTCAAAGTAACTAAAGATAAATGACATAAATATTAATTTTTATCCAGTTCTGGTGATAACATTAAGACGCAACTAATAAAACACAGCAAAAGGTGTAGCCATCCAGCTACACAAAAGAGGGACTATTGACGTATTTATTAATTCTATTAAAAGTCACTGAAAGAGATTTCCATAGGCCTTGGAAAACTGTAAGCAAATAATATTACAGAAAATGTTATCGATTGGAAGCTGCTTGTGTACATCAGTCTATAACTTTATATGGCAAATAGTGCCAACAGCTGGATATTACAATTTGCAATATTTCAAAATTGAGCTTACATTCTGGTTGGGTAATACTGTAAGAGCTGGTAGTCTAGGTAATCTTTAACTTCAGTGGATCTTAGAACTCTGGTTGACAAAATTGAGGATGAGAAAAGTTATCACTTGTTCAAAGTCCCATAGTTAATGAGTGGCAGCATAATTTATACAGTCTAAAACAGTCACCTATATTATATGCTGATGTAGACATAGAGCTATGGCATATCAAATCATAATTCAGTCTTCTATTCATAGGATAAGAAATTCATTTGGTTTATATTGTGTGGCAAACCTTTATACAGTGGGAGTTATGTTTTAAACCTTAGGGTAATGAATTGCTGTTAGCTTAGGATCCAGTCATGAGATTTTGGCTGCAGTGGCTAGCATTATATTGAGGGGAGTCATTGTCATCTATGATCTTAGCCTATTGTGAGGTTTGTATACTTTTATTTGAAGAAAGTGGGTTGAAATCACTTTCAGGAATGAAGCAAAGAAAGTAGTGTCATGGATGTCAAATTGGATTGTTGATACTTTCTGTGGGCTTTGAAAAAAATTTATTACACATTTTGATGTTGCATCTGGGTGGAGAGTATCCATGTGTCATAGCAAGTTGTGGCCATTCCTTTGTCACACAAATGTTTAGTGATTTCCTGTTATGTACTAGTCTGGGCTTTGAGGATGGGGAACAAGAAAGGCCAGGAGGATAGAGTTGACGGATAAGTGGGAAGAGACTCACCAGCAAGGAAACAAATAATTAAAGCAGATGTTTCAGAGAGTGATGCTTGTTATTAGGGACATAAGAAAAATATTGATGTGAAAGTGAACAAGGGGGGGGGGTTAAAGCTGGACATTTGGGTTGAGACCTGAAAGTGACATTGGGGCAAGAGCCTGAATGTTAGGAAAAGACGTGGGAAGTTAGAAGAACAGAAAGGAGGAAGGTGTGGCTGGGCAGAGGGGTGGGATGAGGGTGGGAAGAAGGCGAGGAAATCGGAGAGGTCTGAGGGCTGGGTGGTGGCAGGCCTTGCAGGCTATGGTGAGCAGCCAGCAGGTTTTCGAACAGGGGACGTTAATGGGGATTATGAAAGGCATTTGCCACATCCCTCAGTCACGGGGAGGCTTAGCCACCGCAAGGGAAGCAGGAAATATCACTGAGACATGTCTGCCACTGACCGTCCCTTCCCCTGGCCAGTTTCCTCACCTATACAACAGGAGGGATGATAGATCCCATTTATGTCACTCAAAGGGATATAATGGGGATTAATTGCCATCCTGTCTGTAATATACTTGGAGCTCTTTAGAGAAAGGCACTATATTCCATGAAAGCAAAGCTTTATTCTAATTGTGTATTTATTGATTAAGTGACAATCATAGACAATGCTTATGGGAAAAATTGTTATATCTCTGCTCTCCACAAACGAATCCCATGTGTATAGATATAAAACATATTTAAACTTACATATTGCAAGCACTGAAGTGGTCATTAACAAGCCTTTTTAGAATCTAATCAGACATTATTAATTAAATTAAAAGCTATGTTAATTAGTATTCAATAGACCAAAATTTAGTTTCAATGGCACAGATAGTTAAATTAAGGGTTGAGGATGCCCTTTCTCATTCGTAATAGAATAGAAGGTTGACTCTCAGAACAATTTTATCTCAGGAGAATTTGTGGGGATGCAGTGTTTCAAACTAGCCAATGTGTCTATAGATAGAAACCACATCCTTAGCTCCTCTCCCGGGCTTCAGAAATACACATTTCAAATTTAGATATATTTTATTATTGAACAAAAGGTGTTTGCACCAAAACTAATTTCAGTAGAATTCCAAACATTCTTACAAGAACGTATGAATTTCATTTTATTGTCTAATCCCATAATACTTTTTATCCACTTTAACTCTTAAGGAACATAGCTGGGCTTGTTCTTAGCATGCAAAATATGCTGGTCTTTGACCTTATATTGGAATGTGTTCTGAATCTCAGTCTGTATTGACATTCAGATATGGAAACCAACTTTGGGTGAATTTCGTTTGTGCTTTGCTGAAGAGCTAAAATGAATAGTGTTTTTTTAAAAAATACACCCACTTTAGTTCTGATATTTGTATCTAGCACTATGGTGTTTTGGAGGGAGAATGTTGCATTTAACTGCTGAGGACCTCAGCTGAGCTTGTTGGTCCAAATAGGTCAGCTATAGAAGTCTATGGTTCAGTGAAAATATTAAGTCAGGCTAGTATACTTTTAGATGGTAAAAAAAAAAATGGCTTGTCCTTATTTTAATGCTATAAAATACAGTGGAGATCATACTAAACTTTATGTTTGCAACAAATAAACCTGTTAAAGGATAAACTCGGTATCAAGGTTCTGCAAGTATCCTAAGTAGCTATTTATACACTTCACTAATCTTTGTAATTGGCTTGTCTTTTACTGCCATTAATTAGATGATGTAGTATTCCATTAATAAGAGTGACACACCTCAGCATTTTTACCTTTAATTATAGACTTCACTAGACACTTAGGCTATTGACAAAATGGCCTAAATATTGCCTGATGTGCACATACCTTTTTTGTTCTCTTTCAGCACCCTTACCCTTCTGAAGAACAGAAAAAGCAGTTGGCACAAGACACAGGACTCACCATCCTTCAAGTGAACAATTGGTAAGTAATTTGGCTTTGTGTTTACACACAATCTGTTTCCCCCTCTGGCAACCTGCAGCTAATGTTTTGCATTAAGAAGACACACCCAGTCGCTGCTGCTTTCCCTGGTGGCTTGTCGATCCAAAGGTGAAAACAAACTGTTGCCTGATCTGTGAGAACACTTGGTGGTATGGAAAATAAAACATTGTATTGCTTCCCACTTCCTTTATAAATTGACACATTTTATTCAGAGTATAAGTATGTGTGTTTAATTCACATTCACTATGGCTCTGTAAATGTGTCTCTCTCTATGGTGTTTTTTTTCTCCCCTTCAGGATAATCTATAGAGTGCTATCATCCTGTTTTCTATGAAACAAGAAAATCCACCATCACATATCGGTCAGGTTTTAAATTCATCGAATAACTAAATTCAGTTAGATTTTGTTAGGGTTATGCATTCATGGATCATCTTCCCTTTCCTCTTATCTCCTGAATTCTGAAAGGGAGAAATTATTTATGTTTCTACTTTGAAGCTATTCCAAACCTGATGTATCTCAGGGCTGTGGGAGACTGTTTCCAAATAAAGTGTAAATTCCTGATTTGGGGCAAAGCTGAGATTATGTACCAAGTACCAGCCAACAATATTCTGACTTAATGTACAGCAGTGTGGCAACGAGGCTTTGGGATAGTATGATTTATTACCCTTTGTGAATGTGCTGAAAGCCAGCTTTCATATAATCACCCAGGGCTAGTGTCATATTTGAAGGGTATCGAAATCCAATATCCTCTAAAACTAAGTGTATCTAATTAATTGTCCTAATATTTTTAGATTAGTGTTTATGATGGGGAAACCTTATCCTCTTTGAAGTAAAATCCAGAAAAGGCCCAAAGCCCGGTTGGGGGGAAGGGGAGAACTGGGAATGCCAGTTTGCAGACAGAAGTATTTCTTTCTGTTCAATAAGTGTCAAAGATTAATATTACAGAATCTCTGATTACATGGCCTAATCCATTTTGGTGAATAAATTTGTTCTTGATGTCTATTGCACCTACATTAACAGACCCTTTTCCGTTAGAGAGCCTGGGAGCCTTTGGGAGAGATTTCAGATATATTAAACCCCATTACAGAAAATGTAATTTCTGTCAATATAATCCCATGTATTCTTCAATTTAGTATTTTAGAGATAACAAGCTACTTACAATATATTTGCCTTTGGAGGATTAATTTACAAAGTGCACTATCTGCAACACACAGACAGACTCACATAAGCATTGCTTGTAAGGGTTATCAATTTCTATGACCTTACTGCAGCCTTGAGAGATCAATTTTTGCAGCCCTTTTAGTTAGTGGATAGGGAACCAACCAAAGGCATACTGCGTCTAAATGTGTTACTAGCAGTTATGTTGCTGCTAAGGTTTTCTGTTTGCCTATTTTATTGGCTATTGCATCTTAATTTTCAAGACAGATAATATTACATACTTGAACTTAGTCTTTCAAATGTTTCTGGACTAAATTATAGGGGAGACCATCGATTTTGCATGCACACCTAAATTCATATATGCATATTTTTAAGCTTAGACTGATAGTGAGGCAGTTTCAATACAATGGAGGCTGCACAAATGTCACATTTCCCTGGGAAATGTTCCCATTTGAGAGCAAAGGAGTAAGCAGGGTGAAGGAATGTAAAACCACTGCTATTCAGGTAATCTATCATACATGCCATCTCTCTTCCTCCTCTGTTTTGCTAGCAAACTCCATGTATAAACATAGTTACCAGAGAACAAATTCCAATACAAGTTGCTTTCTATTGGTTGACAACCTTATGGGATATTTCCTGTGAATGCAGGGACAGGAAGGCATCCTGTCACTTCAAGCAATGTATATACACTCATTTCTCTAGACTCTATGCACCGTCTCTACTGAGAGGCAGTTCTTAATCAGGTAGGGATCACAATTCAACTTCCTCAGTTTTGTAATTAGAAGGAAGAAAAGGGATGTTTTAAAAAGTTGTAACTAATACTGTAAAATAGTTTTCAACGTATGTGTAGAGTTTACCCTAAACTTCACATTGCTATTCAATCCTGCAAAGGTGTATAGCTTAAAAATCACTTTTAGTTCTTTGTTTGGGACATAAACAGAGCTCTGTGCTTGACTGGCACTTTGTGCAGTAAGTGTGTTCTCTCTATTTGTATAGGGAGTTAGAAGTGGCTTTTGCTGGCATCTCAATGCTTTGCAATTGGCAATTGGCAACTGTCAACAACTTTGCTGTAGAAAGTGTCCCTCCAGTAACTGAAAGTTGTAAGAGAAATTGTTTTTCTTCAATTTGATAAATAATGGCACTCTCATGTTTGATTTCAGTTTTTAATGGTTTATTAATTTTTATCTAAAGCTTCCCCTTTTAAGAAACCCAATAACGGACTTATTTTTCTTTAGGCTTTAAATAGGAAATACGATGCAAAAATGGGGAACCCCAGATGGCACAGTTTTAAAACTAAAGATGTCAGAGAATCTTAAACTGTGATATATTTGAAGACTAAAAGCAGAGTAATTATGGATTGGTTTTCTTTATGACTTGATTGCAATAAAAAAATTACATGAAGCTTTTTGAGAGCTTGTAAACATCTGCTCAAGCTATTTCCTTCTAGAAATACTAATTTTTAAAATATCATCATTAATATTTTTGCATTTTCCCTTCACTTCTTTAGCCACAACTTTTAAACATTTGTGTCTTCCTTCTTGGATTTCTTAAAACTTGTTAATACACATGTACATTTTTGTATGAACCATGAGTCACTGTTGAAGAGATTTAATAAAACGCTAAAGGGCAGGTTGGGTGTAGATCAGTCATAATTATTGGCAGCAACATAATGTATAGAAATATACAATATGTAAGTCAAAAGTATAAACTCATGTCTAGTTGTTAGCTTGTCATAGAAATCCTGGCTGATGCAGTTTTAAGTTATGTTTCTACTGAAAAATGAGACAAGAAGTTCTGTACATGGTAATGGTTCTTTCACTTCATCACTGAACTAATATGAGACTTCTCTAGTTGACATAAGTGATATATACTACCTGCCTTGGCTAACTAAGGCTAAAGTAGGGACTTGAGGAGAGAGGTGAAAAGGAAAGAATTTAAGTGTAAAACAACAAGACAGCTTCGCTTAATTAAGAGAAAATTTGGAGTAAAAGGAATAATTGTGATAACTCTTACATTTGGTCTACTTTATCAGAATAAAAACAGGGAAGAAATCTTAAAATGGTTGGCATTAGTACTTATAGCATTTGGACTCTGGGATGGAATGTGAAATTTATTAGATGTGGCATTGTAGTCCAAGTGCATGCCAATACATTTTTTGAGAATTGAGGCAATTATGCAAATAATTTGGTTCAAAATATTTCTACATAAATTATCTCTAAGTATTTGAAATAACTGCATGTTTTTTACAAATCAACTTCTATAACTAGTTGCCTAAATATTTCAATCTAGTGTGTTGTGGCTGATACAGATTTAAAGCATGATCATTTTTGAAATATAATATGTACCATAAATTTATATATTATTCCCCCTTTGCTCCCTTACTCCCAATTATAATTTTATTGCAAAATGATAAATAATAGCATTAGGGGCTTTTTTCTTTTTGCTTTTTTTAATCGTTATTGTGGTTGTGACAAATACTTCTGCTATATCAGCAGTGCAAACATTTTTTAATATGCTGAATGTTTCATTCATTTAAGCAGAAACATCTTAAATTTGGGGATTAGATGATTATTTAAGTCTTTAAATATTTCTGTAGAACTTTAAATAAAACACAACACACATACACAAACACCAAGTCAATACTTGGTTCTTTTTTCTCCTGAAGAGGAGTTTATTTTTTGTATGGAAAATGTGAGTGTGGGATGGTAAAATAAAACTCCCCTTTTATATTTTCACACCAATGTTTCAGGCCTGGGAATTCCCTGTGGTGAAAACTTATGCCTTGTGATTGTATCCTCCTTACTGGCTGCCTTAGACACATCCTGCCTCAGTAGAGTTTTGGCCTAGTGTGTACCGAATAAATTTTACAGTTTCTTTGCTTTATTACTCCGCATCCAAGCACTTTCCTATTAAGGCTTGATATTAAATGATTATCCCTTTATGCTCTGAGAAGGGAATAGGAGTTTTAGTTGCAAAATATATAATATATGTGAAATACAGTATGTGTGCAGAGAGAAAAATTACTCTTCATCAATAGGGTATATAAAATTCTTGGTAGCATCCCAATATCCGAGGTGACACACCGTGGAACTACTGCACTCTGCGGTTCTCAGATTTTGTGCAGATTTTCCTAGTTACTTCATTTATTGCCTTCAAAACTGCAAAGCATTCAGGCATCACTTCCCATTTATTACTAGTGAGGAAAAAAGTATGTTATCCTTAGAGATTTATGCCACTGGCAGGTAAAAATGTAAACTTATTTTTTGAAAATAGGATCAGATCTTTTTTATTATAATAAACAGATTCAACTGTTAAAGGTCACATTTCTCTCTGACTCATGGTAATAATGTAGCAAATACTTTTATAAACAATCCAATCAAAGATTCTATAAATATAGGTACCTGTTTAGATGTAAATGTTAAAACATTCACAAATTATCCTTTCAACTTCTGTGATCTAAAAATCAATAGAGGTCATAGGGTTTCAAAGAATTGTTCTGCTTTTTCTTCCAACATAATTTAATAATACATTTTACAGATGTTGTTTAAATATTAGACACAGATTGTTTTATCAATAAAGCTAAGCAGAGGCATGACACGAAAGTAAGGAAAACATATGTAAAAAAAAAAAAACACAGCACAGGATGTAAGAAGCAGTGGGTCACTTGTTTGCTACTCAACTACAAAATAAAAATGTGGGCTGTATAGTGATTTTCCTTGCCTGGGAATTACCTAGGGATGGAACAACTTCACACACAGAAGGCAATTTTATTAAGCAGGTGTTTTAACTTTTTCCTTTGAGAATTTAAGTGTAACCTACATTTAA